GGGGGGGGGGGGGGAGAGAGAGAGAGAGAGAGGTTATCGTGGACTACTTGTAAAGGGTCTCGGCCACATTGCTTTCTCTGGCGATCACGAACTTGCTCTTTGTCCTCTCCGTCAGAAATGGACTAATCATGGCGTACAACAGAGTGAAATACCAGGGCACGTTGATGAACACCTGCGGTTGATGTTAGCAGAGAGAAGAGGAGGTGACGTCGTGATGAGGAGAGCTTGACGTTTACAGACCTTTCTTGCGACCATCTCAGGGTAGTTGTCCTGGAAGAGGGAGAGGATGTGCTGCGAGGCGGCCCGGAGCTCGCGCTTGGGCATGTCCTTGAGGTCGGTGACCTGGATGATGGAGTTGATGCCGCCAGGGCGGAGTTGGAGCAAGCGGACGCCGCGCTCCATCACCTGGACGCGCCACCGGAGGAAGTGATGTAGCTTGTCGGCGTCGCCCAGCACGCGGTCGTACACGTCCTTGTCCTTGAAGACGCCGCAGGCGTTGTAGCACACGGGGTGGCCCCACCGGTCCCAGCCGTGCATGTACGCCACAACGCCCTCCAGCTCCTTGAACCCCACCAGCTCCTCCTCCGCCACCTCGTCGGCGCCGAACTCGCGCCGCCACTCCACGCAGCGCAGCAGCATGGCGTGCGCCTGCCCCGCGTCGAAGTCGCGCGCTCTCAGAAACTTGAGGAGGACGACGACCGCCCGCTCGTCGCCGGCGGCGGCGGAGGAGGGGGCGAGAGGCACGCCCCAGATGGAGATGGGCTTGGGGGAGACAGCGAGGAGTTGCTGCAGCTCCTGGAGGGCCTTCAGCTCGGCGAGCTTGAGGCTGGAGAGGAGGTAGCAGTCCTCCTTGAACGAAGGGGAGACGTGGAGCGCGGTGGGGGCTGCCGTGGCGCCGGCTGTGGCTTCCATGAGGGAGCTCAGCAGGCTTCTCTTGGTGGCAGGATTGGGAGAAGGGACGGGCTCAGTGGTTGCTTGGGATGACTCCATTGCTAAAGTTGAGCTGAGAGAAGGAAGAGAGCTCAAGCTCGTCGTCTTGCTCGATCCTCTTGTTTGCTTGGGTTCCACTACAGCTCAGCTCCTGTTACTACCATTACTAGTGGTGTTGCAGAGAGAGAGAGAGAGAGAGAGAGAGAGAGAAGATGGGGAGGGAAGCTAAATTGAATTGAATTGAATTGACTTGAAATGAATGGGAGCGGTGGAAGGAAGGGGAGGTGGAATTATGGTGATGGCGTGAAGGGGGAGTCCTTCACTTGAGCTTTTATGACCATTTGGAGCAGATGGGGAGAGGAATGCATGGCGGATCCGTGAATGCTTTCTTCTTTGATTTGTGGGATTCTCTTTTTTTGCCCTCTTTATCTGCACATTGCTTAAACTATTCTGCTTCTTTGGTTGCATCGAAAGTGCTTTAAAGAAGAACTTTAAGATTGGATACGGAAGGCTGATGTTACATTTGCTCGACAAAAGATCCAAATGCCAAATGTGAAACTGCGTTTAAGGAATCGTTTCTTCCACCTCCAAAATGGTGGGGTGTGACGAAAAATATTTACATGTGATGATCGAGTGGAAAGAATAAAAAATAATAATAAAATTCTCATATTAGTTTGGAATGAGAGAGTCGATCGATATATATTGTGCTTAGGAATTAGATGATATTGGGTGCAGCCAAACGACAACTCTATGAATAAAGAGTATAAGAGCAACTAATACATAAATATAAAGATATTTTATCTATAAGATTTATGTATAAGATAAAAAAGAGTCGAGCATCATACATTGAGTTTGACTCATATCCTAAACGATTTAAGATTTTATATTGCGTTTGTGTCTAGTTTCATGTATGTTAAGATTTGATCGGTCTGAGTGAGACTCGACTGATCTTAGAATAATAACAAAATTATTATTATTATTATTATTTTTATATATGAGAAACTAAAGTCTAAGATAAGAAGGTTAAGTGAGAGAAAACCCAATGCAATCCAATCCACCATGACCAGTAAGCTAAACCTGTGTGTGGAGACAAAGGTAGAAGCAGGGAGAAGATGGAGGAGGAAGAGGAGCTGCCGCTGCAGCTGGAGAAGGGTTCGTCCCAGCATCCGAAGGCACCGCTCTCTTTGAGGTCTTCACCTACCGACAACAAACCGTCGCCCGGAGATTGGGTGCTTCAATTCCAAACCAACAAAGACCAGAATATTAGATCATGGTCGGCTTTTCTTCTTCATCGTATCAACACTGAAAAGAAAATGTTTATTGTATAACACTAAAAAAAAACCATTATAATATTCTTTACATATATATATATATATATAATAAATAATAGTAATTGTTGTTTTATATTCCCACATCAATGGCAACGCAATAGGAGGGATTGCAATCAAGATGAAGTTCAACAGAAGATGATCTGAGAGCATTAAACCAAGCAACCACTGCATCATCAGCCGAGGGATGTCTTCTTCCGTGTAAACACCGCACAGAGAACAATGTCGGATGTCCATTTCCATTATTCTCTAGCTGTGGCAGCTCTTGTGACCATCTAATCCTAAGGGAAGCAGACTGCGACACGACGATAACTCTGCCAATCGATGGATCTTTTGAGCTCAAAAACAAGTTCACAAAAGCCTTTTACAGCTCTGCATTCCACTTGCTACTTTCACCATCCAAAGTATTATTTCTTTCCCCCTTACTTTGATACCGTGTACATAAAAAGCAGTGTCAAGTGGTGTGCTAAGTACGGTGTAGTATTATTGTACGCTGACTTGTTCTTTCTCCATTGTGAAGGAAGGATTCGAATCAGGAGACCTTTGACCGTACAAATCCAGTTAAGAAAACTTGCTTTAGATTTGATATTTGTTCTTGGAAGGAAACAAAACAGATATGGTTGAGTTTGGAAGACAGCAACGAGGAAAATAAAGGAGCTTGGATTAGATGATGGTATTTAATTAATGGAAGGAGGAGGTTGTGCAAGATTTGTATATTCTTTTTATTTATTTTTTTATTCAAATATTCAAGTATTGCAATTCCACAGAACAAAACAAAAAATAAAATCATAGATGAATATTCTCTAATAATGTGTTGTATGGAATGCTATCACTAAATGGGTATCATTATCCGACACATGTCTCTACCACCCGCTTGTGCTTCTTTCTTGATATATTCATTAATTTAATTGCGTGAATTATTTTGCTGACATATAAATGCATCACAACAGATTAATGGGTATCATCCCTCCTTACATGCAGTGAACCAAACCGAAGAAGAAGAAGAAGAACGCCATACGACTACTGCATATTACAGAGACGAGGAGAGGGTGAAGCCGTGGAGAGGGATCAGCACAGAGGAAGGTCCGCGGGAGGCGGCAACAGAGACTGCAGCTCGCCGACGCCGTTCTCCACCAGGAAGGCCATGGCCAAGCCCCAGGTGATGTGCACGTCCAGGTGGCAGTGCACTAGCCACACCCCTGGGTTGTCCGCCACGAACCGGATCACTGCCCACCCGTTCACCGGCACCCCCACCGTGTTCCGCAGCGGCGGGTCCACCAGATTGAACCTCGCCGAGTCCCTCGCCGGGTCGAAGTTCCCGAACCCCGTCGCCAGCACGTAGAAGTGGTACCCGTGGATGTGCATCGGGTGTTCCTCCCCCGCGAAGATGTTGGTGCCCTGCAGCACCAGCTGCACCACCGACCCGTACTTGAGCGGGTACAACTTCGTCCCCAGCACCGGCTGCCACAGCCCCCGGCTGACGTTGGCCGCAGTGTAGTCGAAGGGGACCGGCGGAACCGCCGGGAAGTCGGTGGTGAACACCCCGGGCACGCCCAGGTGGTGGGCTTGGAGGAGGGAGAGACCGGTGGGCAGCTGGAAGGAGACGTTGTTCATGCTGGCGCCGAAGCGAGTACCGTTCGGGCCGCCGCAACGCCGGCCAGGCGGGCAGTTGAACAGGCCCAGCCCGACGGTGAAGAAGAGGTGGTGATCGACGGGGCCGGGGATCTGGACGGGGTAGGGGCTCCTGATTCCGGCGGCGAAGGCGGTGGCGGTGGGCGTGTCGTTGAAGTCCGGGAGGACAGGGAACGGCGGCGGGAGCCCCGGGCCGTTCTTGGTGGGGCAGCCGCTGTTCTTATACTCGAGGACGGCGGTGGTGGTGGTGTTGTCGAAGGCGACGCCTCGGGCGCTGGCGTAGGCGTGGGCGGCCATGTAGTAGCGGCCGGGGGGCTGGTTGGTGGTGACGAAGACGTCGGTTGTCTGCCCCGGGCCCAGCATGAGGACCGCGGTGGTGAAGGGCTTGGTGTAGGCGGCGTCGGCGGCCACGACCGTCATCATGTGGCCGGCGATGCTGACGAAGAGCTCGTTGTTGAGGGCGGCGTTGATGAACCGTAGTAGGTTGGTCTCACCCAACGCCACTGGGAAGACCGTTGTATCTTTGTTGGAGCAGTTGTAAAGATCGCCGGGCTGGCCATTGATGGTGAAGGCGTCAGAGACGTTTGGGGCTGCTCCGGTCCTCGTCGCCCGCCGGACTACGCTGATGGGGTCCTCATTCCACCACTCCCCTGTTCCAACGCCATATCGTCATTCAAATCTATGCATACATGTGTATAAGATTTGGAAGGGAAATTAGTACCGAGGATGACGGGGAATTCTCGGTGGGGTTTGGGGAATGGGTAGGAGGAGGCATCTCGGGGATAGATGATGAGGGCGCCATGGACGGTGGCCCTGAGCCAGGAGCTGTGTGCGTGCCACCACAGCGTGCCTTCTTGGTCCTCGATGGTGAACCGGTACGTGTAGCTGCCGCCGGGCCTTATGGGGCACTGCGTCACGAACTCCGGCCCGTCCGCCCACGCCGTTCGCATCTGTCGAACCCCGTGCCTGTCAACACGCATCACTCGGATCTCGTTAATCTGCGTCCATGCAAGCATGCCTGCATGCACAGATTATATATATATATATATATATGTATATATATATATATATATAGTAAATATATATATGTATATATATATGTAAATATATATATGTATATATATATGTAAATATATATATTGCTTGGTTTGGTAGCAGCGGTACCAGTGAAGCGTGACGTTGTATTTTGCTCGGTTGACGACGTTGACCACGAGTGTGTCTCCGTTTCGAACCGCTAGCGTCGGACCGGGGTATTGGCCGTTGACGGTGATGATGTTGTGGGTCTTGCACAGCCTCTTCACTGGCGTCGCTTGGACCTGTTCACATCCGGTTGACTTCAGAAAATGAACACCAACCCAATAGGGCAGATGACAACGCAGATGAGGATCGAGGATGGATGGCATACCACAAACTCATGGTAGTGGACTTCTGCATCGGCACAAGTGAACATTACGGAGGACCACAGCAGCAGCAGAGGCAGCAGGAGGAGGAGGAGGAGGGAGCACTTGTATGAGTTCTTGAGTGCCTCCATCCCCCTACTCAATCCTATTCCAGGTAGTGAGTGATGCAGCAGAAGCGATTGAGAGGTTCCAACCCAGTACTTGTCCAGTTGTTTGGTGATGCAACAGCGATTGAGAGGGCTGCGTTATTTATATACAAACGGAGGTAATGGGTTTGTTTGTGGTTGGAAGATTAGGTTTTGAATTGTGGAGAAAAAGAGTGCTTGTATAGAATTTTTTCACCAATCCGAGGGCTCAATCTCCGAGGAACAGTTGCACTACTACCATAGAGGGAGTGGTTATACCCACTAGATCACAATAGTTGTAGAAGAAGCCTCATCCCACATCGACAGACCTTTTGATTTTTTGTGGAAATGATTCTTGCACTGCATGCATGTTTTTAATCATTGTGGCTCATATTCCAAATGATTTGTTATGACGTACAATCCGTGGCTACATTAGCCAACTAGTCAAGAGTGCCTTTTTCATTCTTTGCAGCAAACAAACTCACATCTTTCCTATAGTTAGGTCCTCGGTGAAGACAATTGTGCAGATGTGTGGTTAGGGTTGTTAGAGCAAGAACCATCTTTTCCAGCAGTGATGTTGTTTGACTTGTCTAAATTGCCGGGTGGAGAAGTGCAATGAGCCTTACAAGTCAATTCTCAATTTCCACATCCTCTTCGCTCTTGGCACTCGTTCTTTTTATGTCTGAATCAAAGTCGTCAAGAGTAATTAATTCGACCTGCCATGTGCTCTCCAAGCCCTTCTTCATCATCCCATCACTATTTGATCCATAACTTCCCTACAAATACAAGAACAACAGGATAATTTGATCTATTCACTATTTGCTCACTCAGAAAGGCCACCTGGAACAATTTCTTAATTAGATCTATTCATTTTCATCAACAGGATAATTCTATTTCTAGCTACCAATAAGACTTCAAAAGGAAGGATAGAATCATAAAATCTTCAAGAAGACTTTTTTATTGACTACAAAAAAGCTTCAAATTCAAAACCCATTCTGTAACAATTTTTCTATCAACAGAAGCTGGGAACCATAAATCTATAGCATCTCGTATTGTACCACCCGGTTCAGAGAAGCTAGCAGACGCGCTCTCTACTTTCTGCATATGATGACACATCATCAGTTGGTAATTATATGCTGGACAAACCATTGTCACACTGAAAAGTTGCTTTCAGAAGCTATTAATACAAATTCTGTATCGGTAACTGCTTAATGATATCTGGACAAATGTCACACCACCAGTGGTGATTTTCATGTACATGCCAGAAAGAAGTCAGTGCACAAGACACAAGATATGTATTCCAACGTGAAATTGTTCTCATATTTTGTTATACTTGATATGCTGACTTCTTACGTGAAAGAAGCCAGCATAGCACAACAGTCCAACTGATGTTGTCCAGCTCAAAACCAAATCTTCATCATCTCCCTCCTTCGTGGATGCACCTTAAGCTTTTAAGCCAGCGGTTAGGAAGAGCACCATCTATCTGACTTGTAAGATCCACGAGGTGCAGTCATGGAGTAGCTGGAACTTCTGACATGCTGCTATGCTGAGAAACACTTGCATTTTGCCAAGGAATGCCAACAAGTCTTCATGGCACCGGAATGAGCCACCACATGCACACTGCTCCACTAAGTGAGCAGCTTTAACTTGTCTGCACCTGTCACAAACAAGATCCTGCAAGTGGTAAAGCCTTTCTCTCTGCCTAACTACTTGAAGGAGAGCATTCTCCATCTGCTCACGATTGTATGGCTGTCCACAATGTGGCACCGCACAGTGCCAATTATCCTCCAAAAGTACTGAATCATGACAGAAGTCTAAATCCCGGCAATCATTGCAGTAACTGCAAATAGAAAACCTGAATTAGGAATGGAGTACAAAAGAAAGGCTGGAGTGTAGAATACGGGCAAGTTCCATGAGTAAGACTCTACTGTCAGAAACTTGGAGCATAATATGACCTTTGAGATTATTTTGTTACTCGATGTCTAAGATGCCAATAAGCTACCACAACATAAACAAAATTGATCTCCACCATACCTGCAAATAATATTCGGAAGTGTAAAAGACTGACATGGATCACGAAACTGTGCTTCTGGAGAAAACTCTTTGACATGGATCCGTTTTAATAAATTCTTCCTCATCCGCTGTCAAGTCAAAGCATATAATTCAGCAACCATTGCCAGAAGCTTATAATATTTTGAATGACAACCAATAAACACAACATAATAAAATTAATGTAAATACACATAACCACAAACCGAAATAAATTGCATGTCAAATGCAAACTTATTTTTAGGTTGTATTTCATTCACTCTTTTGGACTTTGAAATGGACTTTATTTTGCAAACAAACAATGTAGATTTTAATGCAACCCTTTATATTGCGCACATTTTCCTTGAGGGATTAAACAATAGCTTCAAACAACTAGAATCAATTAATAAAAAATGAAGTTAAATAACTCATAGATAAGAAAAATTATTTGTTATGACAAGGATGAGTTTTACTAGTGGACCACTAAAAGGATCTTGTTTGTCTCGGGGATCAAAGAAAGACAACCAATTTCTACTCAGTAAAATTTAGAATCAAATTATACTTTGGAGAATTACCAACAAAAGTAGGTTTCAACTTCATTTGAATTGTTATTTCCATATGTGCATTAGTGAAAACTAAATTTATTTGGATCAGATATCTCCAGCAAAGTCTTGTACCAACAAGTTTGATGCATCATAGTTAATTTCAAAACTATATAAATCCACTTCCAACTTGATCAGAGAACATTTACCATGCTTGCCATTTCGGTCATGAGCCAATCATATACCCAAAACTAATTGCTGAACTCAGCAGATATTTTGTACAGTGTCCTCACAGGGATGATGCAATAAACATGATACACATATGAGTAGCACAACTTTATCTAGACATGGCAGAAACAACTTCCAAAAAGTTGGGTCCCTCACAGAGCAGAAAGTTTGAGAAACAATGATTACCTAGTTCTAGCAACTGAAGGCACATAATGAAATTTAGATAAACAAGAATTTGGGAATTTCCTTCTTCCAAAATTAACAATTAAACATAGCACTAGCCACTTCTTATTAGATAGGGTGATTTAGCTTGATGACCATATTCCTAAAAAATATTGCATGTAAACTTTCTGCACAAAAATATAAAGAACAAAGCACTATCAGATATTCTTCTTATTATATATTTAAATAAGATAAAAGAAATAGGGTTGTATACCAGAACATCATGTTTAACATTCTGATCAAGAGCAAGAACAGCACACACATGCTTGATGAACTCTAATGCAGCATCTCCCTTATTTCCTTGGGATCCATAAGAACAGGGGAGAACATGAGTTGCATGTAGGTCCTTAATTCCTTTGTTTTCTCCCTTGAAACGGCGGAGTATATCACACACAATGTTAAGAAGCTTCTCAGTAAAATAATTGCTGATCTGCAACAGGCAAAATTTGGAATAAGTAGAGATAAGCTTGTGTCTGTTGTTACTACAAGTTATATATACCTGTTCTTTGATGTATTCATTGACACAAGCTTCAATTGTTTCGGCAGCTGTGACTGTGATTGATTGAGTACTAGTACTATCATCCATCATATTAGTAGTTCGGATCAAAACTTGTTTTTGTAAGTACTTCCATGGGATATACAAGAACTCTGACACTATCAAGACAAAGTGATCCTGTTTGGCACCAAAAGATTGTTTGAATTATTCTTCCATTTAGTGCATTATCAGGTATCAATATAGTTAAAAGGAACAAATACTAGTCAGATTAATAAAATCAAAGCTATTGTTTTCATGAGTAGATATTTTTATTGGGAAATGACGAACCTTAGTGACCTTTGGTAGGTATTCTGCTATATTCCAGCTTGATACCATGTTCATTTGAGAATTATCCTCCATATCCTCTACTGGCAACCCCGTAGGCCATTTGGCTTGAATCCCTCCATAATTTAACTGCAGTTCATATGTACATTTTAGCAATCTAATATAGCTTAAATCATTATATATGTAAAATAATGAGTCAATCATAATATGCTGAGTTGATAGTAGACTCTCTTTATAGAAAATAAATGTTAGCATGGAAAGATCTGTAAAAGAAATACAAGTTAAAAGCAAAGGCATACCTGGTCCATAAACAGTAATGAATGCCAAAAATGCAGAGGTTCAAGCTCAATCCACTCAAAAAGTTCCCTGTGAAAATAGCATCAAATCATAATAACAGAAAAAGGTAGATAGAATGCTTATTCATCTTAATAAGTCTGCAATGACAAACCTTGTTTGCAGTGTTCTCAGCAAACAATCACAATATGCTCTAGCAGCTGATAGTTCAATCTTACCCGTGTCTATAATGATCTTAGAGAAGTTTGCAAAGATGATGGTGGCTCCTAGTTTTTTAAACTCAACCAGCAGCAATGCAAATACCTTTTTCATAAACTGTCAATGCTCATATGAAGACAAGCAAAATACTTGAGAGCTTGTTTCATAATATCTGCTGCAGAATATTGCATCAAGTAGACTAAATAACCAGAATGTGCAACTTACCATGTTCAGGACCCGATGGAGGGCAGGGTCATGAAGTTTTGACATTGGGCTGAATGACAAATGTTAAATGTTAGCTTGAGAAATTGACAAAATAATGAACATTGAGTGCAAAAGCTTTCAACTTCTCAACCTGCAAAGCCACCGGTAAAGATGCTGCAATATTGCATCAGCAAAGACATTACCAGAAGCCACAGCATCTGATATGCATCTCTGAATTAGTTGCTTTACTACTTGAAATGCAGGCGCACACGAGCTAGCTTCATCATAATCAGTTTCGTTATCATGAGCAGGGGGATGTGAGTCAGATTCATGACAAAATAGGGATCCCCCATCCATTTCTTCCACTAGACTGCTCTTGAGAAGAGCATTAACAGCTAGGTGGTGAATCTGCAGAAGAGCAAGCATTAGCATCAACTTTATGTAAAGTTTGATGATGTTAGTCTAACCTTCAGTTCAACTGCCACTTTTCTATATGCTCCAGGATAACTGGCAGCTGGTTGGTTGACCTGTTTTCAGTCATAATACACCATTGAGTACAACAACAAACACTGAATAATACTGAGAATGTTGATCTTTGATAGGCAAATATTACTTCCAATAATCATATATACTTTAAGAAAATATTTGAGGATTATGTTCTTCAAGAACTATAAACATGAGAAAAAGAATAATGTAGTGATTCGATAAGCTGTCAGTAAAGCAAAATTATCTTCAGTGTACCGAAGTCCTTACTTCATCAGCAAAGCATGTATCTCCCTCATAAATGCCCCCAAAATCTGGAATTCCATCATCAGATATCCATAGTACCTAAAAGACACTCCAGGAACATCTTAAGCCGTATTGATAATAAGCAATGAAGAACTTAATTTTGTAAATGTGGAAATGTATATAGTACATTGACTAACTCAATTCATGTAAATAGAAATTGACAAACCTAGAGAAACTAAGAGCAGCTAGTATTTATACAAAAAGAATGACTACAAGAACTTATTTGTATGACAAGTCAACCAATATGAAAAAAAATGCAGAAATCCTCCTCATTTATAATGTTCTCACTAAAGCATTGATTGACAAAGAGGATATACACCAGCAAAAATATGGTCAAATTTTTAAAATGTAAATACATTTATTTTTTCAAAGACTGCTTAAAAGTTGATACTTTCCATAAAATCTATTCCAACCACATTGAAAAAAACAATCAAGAAATTCATTCAGGCAAAGCCTTTAATTTTTTAATTAATGCCAACACAAGCCATTTTGTAGGCATTTTGATTGTGATAACTAGTTTCACACACTTTAGTCACTGTCTCAAAATGAACTATAGCAAAAGTTGCTTTTGAATCAGATGGTCATGGGACAGATTCAGGCCTGCACTATTCTACATTATGGATTCAAGTCATCTAACCTCACACAATAAAATTAAGCAAGTCATTTATGTCGGACAACAAGCAAGAGCTTTCATGATGAACTATTTGGATCATAAAGAACCGAAAATCGATAAAATTACAAAATCAAGATAACAAAGCAAAAGAATCCCAAGTACACATTTGTGTCAAGTGAAAAGGCCAACCTGTTGCTTATCACGCAATGCCCTAGAGAAGAAGACATCAGCAGTAAATAGAAGCCAATCAAGTTCAAAATTCCCTAATGGCACCTGTTTGATCACAGAACATGGACATAAAATTTCATAAGTCAACACTAGCTCAAACATAAAGGCATAGAAGTGAGAACATGATTATTACATGTGCATATCTTGATAGCAAAATCCTTTCATTAAACCACTGGGATGATGCAGCACATCTTTGCATGCTAATTTTACCAGCTGTAACTTGCCATCCAAGAGCCTGTATATGAATTGAAGTAAGTCAAAGCTTTTTGGATGTGCATAATTACAGAGAAAGCAAGAACGATTTGGCTGTCATGGCATCTTCAAGAATACCTGATAATTGCTATCACAAGCATTAAAAGACATAGTGACACAAGGGAAGTCTTCCAGAATTCTTATCCTTGACTTGAGAACTTGAAACCCTGGACATTCTATGATACCAATAGCAGGTTGAAGATGTTGATGCCTATCACAAAATTTATAATTAGATTCGTGTAAACTGTAGTAGAAGTGAAATATAAATATAATATGAAAATTCTTTATTAGGTTTTTTTCTTCCACAAGAATTCTATCCTAAAGAATTTTGTGGAAGTGAAAAAATTGTACCATTCTAGAAAGCTTTTGTGAAATTCCTAAATTCCTAACACATCATATAAGAAACTACCACTGGAAAAGTTGGATAAAAAGAGAATTTTACATAGGATCCATCTCTATATGTTCAAATAACATTTCAATAATATGTTACCAGGTGACCATCCAGTCTACCCTGTACCAGATCGGAACTGCCCGAAAAAGGACAGTCCTCTTCTCAGTCCATGCCTGGACAGGTCCAGGCAAAATAGGGTTCCTTGCATGTTATACCAAAAGCCACATAAATTGACTTGAGAAATATAATATAGCACCCAAATAATGAAAAAGGGAAGAACCCTCCAACAAATGAGGTACTTTTTCCCAGAAAATTAAAGATTGATGTGGACTAAATTGTCAAAATCTGAATTCTAAAATCCAAAGAAGAGTTTTAGAAAAACCTGTGTGCAACTAATGTTCTCTGCAAAATTTTGCTTCCAACATCAATTGATCGGACATACTCGACCTGAAAAGAGTGATTGAGATGTGATAAAGAAAACTGGAAGATAGGAAGATAGAATGACCAATCTATAAATAAAAGTATGACAACAACCATACCTTAAAGGTAGCACTACCATTCGTTGGAGGTTCAATAGATAATGCAAGGCAAGCTTCACGAAATTGTTTCTCCAGAATTGCTGATGATAGTTCTTTGTTCTGAAAAGGGTTTACAACAACAACAGATATTGTCCAAGATGTGGGGAAGTATATAACGTATATTGCCCTTCCCTCCGAGAAGCTGGCACCAAAACAAGAAAGATTGGTGGGAACATATTGTAGTTAACTTGAATACGGCAAAAAGGTAAAAAAGTGTGTCCAGGCACAAAAAACATAAGTTGACACTAGAAGCATGCTTCTTCCTAAAGGATTGAATTTATTATTACTTGTCTTAACCAAATAAACATAAGTTGACACCACATCCAAATCTTCTTAGCCTTAGTTTGCATTAAATAAATTCTTAGTAAGATAAAGTTACAATATTGAACTTAAGGAATATGCTCTAAACATGATGTCTTTTATGCTCTAATAAGTACAATTCATCTATCAGCTTATTCACTGAGATATCATAAAAATCAGTATATACAATTAAATCAGTAATACATACAAAGCTCTCCTGAACCTCAATTATCCATACCTTAGCAAGGATTAAAAATACTGGCATACCTGTGGTACAGATAAAAGTAGGTAACTCCTTGTTCTAGATAAGAGCATTCTGCCGTAGTCTTCATATGCAACTCATCCAGGTTCCAGCCATCTTGAGCATTTCGCAATTTAGCAGCTTTGTCTACTTGGCAAACACAACCAATCTGGACAATAGCATGAAATTCTAATGGCACCTTTGTCTCATATATCCCCTACAAAGAGTTAAAAGACAAGCAGATTCAGATTATTCACCAAAAATAAAAAAAAGTTAATGTGAAATGTGCTTGAGTGACAGTCTTTTAAAGGAAATAATAAGATTGTAAAAACCATGTCACAATAATATCAAAACAGTGAAGCAAGTCTAAATCCAACAAAAGAAATTAAATTGGAAGACAAAAGAAACAATGAGGCTTAACTGATTTTACTTTTGGAACTTTGATCATATATGGGACATATAAGTGAACAAGTCGCACCATTCACTGATTCACAAATAACAGAAGATAAGAAAGTAAATTACTTGCTCATCATAAAGAATTGTCTTTCCAGGTGACCAGAATGATATGAAGTCAAAAATCTTCTTTTGGGAGCCACGTTCATCAAGCTCATATCCATTATGGTCCGTTATATATCAGCTTAGAATATTTGATATATCTAGGCCTATACATAGTGAACTTAATGTATTTACACAAATACAAACAAAAAGTCATCAGATTTAAATAGACCAACAACAATGAGATTGAGCTATCAAGTCACCTAGAGCTTTGAGATCAGCAAAACAAAGTTTCTAATTAAGATCTCTTAGGCTTATCTCCCTGACATTGTAAACTAATTTAATCTTCTATTCAGTTTGTAAAATGTTTTTGAGTTCTCCAATTTTAGTGCACATAATACATATCAAACTATGAATGTAAAATAGATTATATTTATTTACTTAATATTTAGTATGGTTGGATAACCTTAACTACAACCTCATGCCCTAACATGTATAATGCATATTTTTTTTACATTAGTTTGAACACCGAGACAAAGATCTAACATATAATAGATTGAAGTATTATTTATTCACTATCAAATGAAGGAAGCATAACCAAAAGTAACACTAAAAAGAAATATGATGGATAAAAGAAAAAGATGTTGATGTTGTACGATGAAAAAAGTAATAGTAAAGTCATTTGCTAAGATTTTAGGAAAACAACTATCTTCAGTCATGCACAAGAAGAATATTTTTCACCTCAACTTCTGGATCTGCTAGGTGAGCTGCAAGTTTCTTGCTTTCGGCCCTGAATTGTTCTTCACTAATAACAACCTTAAAAAGAACATGTTTAATTTAATCAGACCGATAAGAAAAAGAAATATAAACTCTAAAATAACTTTTTGGTTTAAAGACTAAAGCAAACTATGATATTTTCAGTTTTCCACTATTAACTATTAGTTGTAATTGATTATAAAAAACAAGGAGAGAGAGGATTTGTGAAACAAATCCAAGGATACCTCAATGAGATTGAAGTTAGGTCTGCTATGAGGAAGAATCTTTTTAACACGCCTTCCAGGAAACTCTTCTGTAATTGGAGCTTTAGAATTGAGATAAAACACTCTTGGAACATTTATTGGGACCTTATGCATGGTGCCATCAGCAATAACCCAGGCATAAAAGTGCCCAGGTTGTGTTCTTGGGACAAGCTGTAATATCTGTTTCAGGAAATTTGACTCAATGACATTCACCATGCACAAATTTAGAAAAGTTCAATCAATGTTGACTGGCTCTATGTCACTACCTGCCAGTGAGACCGAACAAGACTTGATTCATGTTTCTTGAAGAATCCACTGACACCAAATCTCTGGCTATGCTTGTACTTGAAACTTGAGTCAGGAAACTTAGTTGTGCCAACAGGTTCATCTGATATATTTGTGCTACCCAATCTGGCAACCAAGAAAATGCCAGGTCAAACTGAGTAATGTACCTTCAATAACATTTACATAACCCAAAATACTGTGGTACTCGTACTTGAGGAAATTCTCAATTAGGCCAGTCCATTAATTCTTAAGAACATAATACAAAATATTCTTCATCATAATTCATTATTACGGATTGAATCATAATACTTTTGTATCAATAGTGTTAATAGCTTGGAAAATACCTTTTGGAAAGATTTTTTCCCTGATTCAGACTTCCAAGGAAGAATAAGAATATATCTTTGATAGGATCAGGAAAAAGTACTGCTTTAACATATGTAGGAAGGACCACAGAAAAGTCTGCTAGAGTATAACTATCTACTTTAATATATGAGGAAAAAAGACCAGGAGGCGAGCACTGAGAAACAACTATTAGCAATGTGTGTCATTTAACATATAAATAATGTATACATGATTAATCATTTGACAAATTAAATTTCTAAAAATATAAAAAAAATAATCTAACTAGATTCAGTTACTGGAAAGATCATAAACCTTAACCAGAATAATGGTGCAGGAAAATCAAGAACCAAGATGCAATGCACCTAGAAAGATTCAACTGGAAGTTTCACAATTCCAGACAGCTAGCAACACGAAGATTCAACAGAAAGTGTGCAGAAGGTTCACATATAACACATCAGATTTTGAATGCTGATAAGTGATAACCAAAGAACAAAAATAATATATTACCTGCGTCTCTTCCTCTCTTCACGAGAGTCCTTCCATTTTCTCTTCTTCGTTTCGAGCCAAGCTTGATAATCAATGGTCTTATCCCCATTTTCACTGGAAATACCATTATTACTCGATGAAACTAGCGATTGATTTGACCGAAATAGGGTGAGATCTTGCTCCTGGAGGTCAACAGGCATCCCAGATACTGGAGAAGATGGTTTTCTTGAATTGATTTCTCTATTGAATTCAAAGCTATGAACTACAGGTCGAGGTGGAAGTACTCTAGCACCATCTTTGACCAAAATTTCTTCAATATCCCCAACAATTGTCTCATCTTGAGCCACCTGCTCTCTTTTTGCTGTATTAAAGATGTCAACAAGTTTACGCTGGCGAAAACGATCCTCTTTCTCGCAAACCTTCTTGTGCAACCAATCCGGATGGACCACTCTTGGTACAGGGTTAGAAACCTGAGATAAATTGGGTTTTGGTCTGAGTAAATCAAGAAAATGTTCAACAAGAATGATGGTTCAAACCTTTTGCATTGCAGCAGGGATGGTGATAATTTTTTGAATAGCTGAACTAAGTCGTAGCGTGTAATAAGACCAATCAACAATAGACCGAATGCCCACATCAGAAGTTATTTTACACCACTTGCGTAAATAGTACTTTGCAATCTCTGCATATAGAAGAATACATGTGTTAGATATGTGTTCAAACTTCAAACTAGACCCATCAATCTACTTAGCACAGATGTAGGAAAAAGCAAGGTTCACTATACCATGGCCCGATATGAGCAGTACATACCGATCCAATAGGGGACTGTATAGGCAGTACATACCGGTCTGTCAGTACACCCCACTATACCATATGTCAGTATGTACTATACCGACAACCAATCAGTACACTGGTATGGACTGGTAAGGCGAACCATGGGAAAAAGAGAACAATACCTGCATCTGTTTCAAATATTGCAACAGGGACTGCACGCTCACTTACTGGAGTTCCCTGCATGATTAGTTGATAAAAGGTCATATAACAGTCTTGACAAAGCATGCAATTTTTTTCATTTGTAGTAAAGTCGATACAACAATTAGTTAAAATATAGAAAAAGCATATGAAAGTCACTTAGAAATATTATAGTAATAGAAATATCAACTACCTGACTTACCAATTAGTGAAAATTGAAAAAGAAAACAGAAAAAAGAAAAATAGCAATTAGTTCCTCATCTCAGAAATAAAATTTACAACTAAAAGAGATAAGTTAATGCAATTGATATGAAAAATGATAGCATTTTGTAAGAATTTGTTCGACAGTTATCATGCTATAAATTTCTGTTGAAAAATTTACTTACAATTCGATATAGACCAAAAAAAGTGACTAACCTGTGGTTCTCGGGCGACTATATATTGGCAATGGAGTCCTTTGTCTTTAACCATTGCATCTCCCAGAAAATGAGCAAGCCTTTTTGCAGTAGTTACAGCACATGATTTCTGTTCCCCATAATCAACCAATGATTTACTCATTGTGCTCGACTCTGAAATATAATCAAGAAGCTCACTGTCGGCAATATCAATGCCTTGGTTCTGACAAAAACAAAAACTGTTAACTACATAGACACTAAACGTCAACCAGTTGTTCAAAAACCTAAGGGTAACAGCAGCATTGTAGCTTACATCTAAAAGATCTAGCCAGCGGTTTGCCACAGATGCAACAGCTGCATAGCATTCTTCCAAGGTTGATCCATGAAGAAATTTGTCAAAAACCTCAGCCTGGTAGAAGGACATTTGTGGGAATTCATGAAGAATTTGAACATCTGCTTGCTCAAATGAGGCTTTATTTTTACAATAAGGTTTGTTGAAAAAGAACTATAAGCTTACAGCATGAAGGCAGAAGCAGTTTTGATATTATGTTTACAAATGTATGTGACTAACAAAAGATTTGGAAGAAGGCATCATGCAGAGTGTAGCTAATTAGATAGCATATCTACAAGATAACCTTCATTATAAGTTATGATTCTGAAAGGTTTCGATTTGGGCCACTTGACTGCACAAAGTTATTTGCCAAAAAACAAATTGTCTAACAGTGCAAGCATTAGATATCATCCATGATACCATAAACTAGTCCCACGCCAAGCATGGGTTATAACTCAATATGCTCTACAAGTCACCACTGACCTCCAGAAAACACCATTTAGTTACTTGCTATACAAGGAAGAAATGTTCTTCTGGCTCCATCATTGACAAATCAAGCCAATTTTGGACTGCTGCTCATAATGTCATCCGGATTTCAATTGAAATAAATGCAAATATTTCTGATGGTCCACTAATATTCAAGATTTGATGCCCCACTCTAGTAAAGACTTGATATGACTAGGGTTAGACATTAAGTTTATATCATTTTACTAAGCTCAGAGAGAAGTTAGGTATAATCCAATAATTAATTGTGGTCAAAGATACATATCGTATATAAGGTATTATCACAAATCAAAAATTTTCTTCTCTTCATAAAAGAAAAAGAAAGTGGATTGTGGCTACAGTAGAGATTGTTGGAACATTCACCAGCATCAAATATATGCATCTAACGGAACTAATTCTAGTTAAAATGTCTATTCCTTTTCATCAATTTCCTAGAACATAAATCTGACACCATCAATTCATATTGATTAGCCATGATTTTCCAGAAGACTTTAAAATCCTTCTGTGTAACTACCCTCTTAGTGAAAAAAGAGGGCTATTATAATATATCATTCTTGATAGTAATCAAATGATCATCTATTTTTATTAAGTGAGAACTGACCATAATGAGATCACAAGATTTAGCAAAAACCAAAACCATAATTCTCACTTATGATTCTGCAACAACTGTTTTATCTACACTGATCCAAAATATAGCAAAAATTGTTAGTCTGCTACAGATATTAAACCACGGATGAGCACCAATATGATGGTTCACTTTTGGATGTGTTCCAACTATTCTAGTAAATTTCTACCTGAAGTTAAAAGTACTTTTCAAGCAAGTGACTATATCAATGATAAAAATGGCAATCATAATACTTGAACATCATCATGATCATCCAACTCCTTTCAACCAATATAGAATCAGTCATGGAGCACCTCCCAGAAGGCTTCATAAAAATTGTGCATAAACTTATGTCTGGCAATTAACTGGATATTGACTTTCAAGAGCCGAAGCAACGTCCTAGTTTAGATGAACACTGGCATTAAATATAGAGGATTAAGTGAAAATGGTCTAGATCGATAAGCTTTGGAAACATGGTCATACCCAACACCAAGGCACAACCAAAAAATTAACCAACAAAACCATATAAGGCTACCAAACAATTAAAATAGCAAAAGCATTCTTATACTCTGTTCCATGTGAATATAATGATTACTTACATTTCTTTTTTTAATCATAAAGTGCCTATCATAACTCATAGTCATTCAATAAAATGGACATCAAAATTCTACCAGAGAGAAAGATACCTGGAATACTTTTATGAGCTTCAGCTCACCTCTGCGTTTGATCTCAAAACCTTTGAGTTCTGCTAGGGTGCCATCATAATTGAATACTGCATATCTCTTCTTGATTAAAATTCCTTCTGCTTTTGAAGCTGGAAGGATCATTGCCTGCTTCAGAGAAACCATCACAAAGACGTACATGGAGAAACAGTTATACCTTAGAAACAGAAAAAATTGCAATTTGCTTGCCTTGTATGGCCCGTCCACTTCAAATTCAATGGAACACTCACTGTGGGTTGTATAAGTTCTGGTGACAGGATCTTTAAGTGTCTGAGATAGTGACATAAGGAAAGGAAACAGAAGTTAGCAAGACAAGTAACACCAAAATATTAGACAATCTTCCTAAAGATAGCAAAATCATATAATATTTGAAGTAGGAAATGATATAAAGAAAAGCATAACCTTAGCTAAATCTCAATGCAAATTGTGGTTTGTTTATCCTCACCTGGTACTGATCATTAGTGTTGTTTCTGGCAACATCAACGTTAAGCATAACACACGGATAAGAAATTGTGAATTTCTTTCCATCACTGAAAGAAATGCAAAATTGCAGTCAGGACTTCAAAAAGTAAATGAAATAAAAATCTGAATATCTTAAACAGGAAATATCACAAACATATTTTAACCATTCAACCTCACTAGTAGGAACTAGGAAGCACACATTCATATACTAATCCAACATGAACATACTATTACATATTCGAGACCCATACTAATATATAGCATAGAGCACGGATTGAAATTTCGTACTATACCGAAATTTCGAGACTTATTCGGTAAGGTACGATACTATATACCGAGCGGTATATTTCGGTATACCGCTTGGTGTATATATATATATATATATATATATATATATAGGGAAACCTCTCGGTTTACCTCTATGTGGGGTGATGTCGTCGAGGCGACGTCGTAGATTAAAAAAAAATTGCGATGTCACCTCCCTTCTCGGGCGACGTCGCCTAAAAAAGATTTGCAAGAAACGTCACCCGAGAAGAGAAGAAAAAAAAAGAAATCTTCGCCTCTCTCCGCCCCGCGACGCCGATGCAACTTCTCTAGCACGTGGATGAGAAGTCACCGACAGACGAGGAGGAGAGCAGCGATCTCTAGGTTCTCCCTTTTTTTCCTATTTCTTTCTTCCCCTTCTCCCTCTTCTTTCTTCACCCTCAGTTACCGTCAATGATAACGCCTCAATCGACGACGATAACGCCTTAATCAACGGTACTGCTCGGTAGCGGACGGTCTGTGTACCAGTCTGTTGACGGACCGGTACGTATTGCTCGGTACGAGCGGTATCATTCGGTATTGTAGACCTTGGCACAGAGTACCAATTCTGACTACATATACGGACAGTTGTGTGAGTATGTGGGCAAGACTAAAAAGGCCAAACATAAAGCAACAACTCCATGTGTGCAAGTCAAGGTACAATAGACACATAAAGTACGTGGGTAAAAGTGAAGACAACACATATAGTACAAAGCATGGTTTGCAGTACCAGTCCGTACCGCCCGGTACGGGCGGTACGTACCGGTCCGACAGGCTTCCGGTACACGGACCGCCTGTTACCGTACTGAATAGTACCAGGTTGAACCAGCACACAGTTTGATCGAGTTTTCTTTTATTTCTAAATTTGATAGCTGCTGCTATCTTTTTAATTAAAACCTAAAAAGTTTGATCCCAGTGGCTGTTCATGTATGAGAATTTAGAACCACCCCCTTCTCCCTCTCTCTCATCCCTGCTCCCCGCCACTACTACCTGCTGCTCACAGTAAAACTGCTGCCACCTGCCTGTTACTCTCCTCTTTCTCCTCCCCACTTCTTGATGCCAATTATAATGTGGCATTCCGTGTACTCGTATGCCCATACATGCTGGATCCATACCAGTTCAGTCAGGGTCCAACCAATATCAAAATTTTAAAACTTGTTACAAATAAAAAGATATATAGTTTGTTTTAGATTTTCATAGATGAACTTAACTGCAGCTATATTGAGAATTTACAGAATGATATGCTTCCATTTTAGAAAAAGAATTGATTGATTTTTACTATGAAAACTTGCTCAAGTTGTAAGGTAGAAGAAATGTGAAAAGGTTCAATTCTATGTTAGTAATAATAAACAACAGCAATAGTGAGGCAAATAAAAGCATATGCTGCCTCATATTTCCTGTTTATGCAGCGACATATGCAACCACCAGTTTTGCATATTCGACAATATTGTATATCAGGACAGTATCACTTTAAGCAAGGAAGCCAGAAAAGCTTAGTTAAAACTTTAAGAAATTAAAAGAACTAAACAGTTTTAACAGTGAACATAATTCTTTCAGCCAATTTCACCATCTTTGTTCAGATGTGTTCGGTATCATGAAGCAATAGTAAGCCAAAGTAATATCCTAGTTTAGTGTACTTAACTTTTAGAGCATCTCTGCCATGTATTTTGCCTATATCTAGACAGATCGATGGATGATAAAATGATTTGTTCAAGAAAAGTAGTTACTTGTTAACCAGATCTAGACCAAAGCTCCTTATCTCACTAAATTTGTGCATCACCAGCTTCCATATTCAACATATGCAGCAAATGAGCATAGGTATCAAAATCCAGATAAGTATACTCCAACTTTGAGCAAACATATATTGACTCTCAGAATGACAACTAAAAGAAAACTATCTTGTAAATAAAACCAAGGAATTCCTAGTAGAGCCTTGTCTTGGAAGCCCAAGTATAGTTGCACCTGGAGTAGAAAATTAATAGTAATGCCAAAGAATCATAGTAAAGCCTGGGCCACTTAACCTAGAGGTAAAAACCTTATCCAACAAGTGAAAAAATAACTAAGTATGCAAATCATGAAAAAACATGTTTTGATAAGAACACAAAAAAAAAAAAGCAGTGTATGACACTTGAGGAGAAACGAGAACAAAAGGAACTTACCTTGTTTTAAATGTAAAGTTCTCTGGAAAAGATCCTGGAAGCGCACACCAAATGCCATCTGTATCCAATTCCAGTGGCCTCCCAATCTTTTCAACAAGTAAACGAGCATTTTGTATAATTTTTGCACCAGTATAAGTGACAACTCCTGCCATTTCCATTGAGTACCATCTTGCACCCCTTTATAATTCACATGAAGATTGTCAATAGTATCCACTTGCTATCATCAGGCCAAACTAGCAAAGTAGATCCAATCACATTAAATGTATATGATCAAACATATTACTGAACTCACTTGCGCATGACATATCCATAAAAGGAATTGAGTATACATTTGTGAGCGAGTTGTAAGGAATCATAGAGGATAACCATATCCTGAAATGTCAAATGAAATAAGCAGATTAATATAGTCCCACGTTTATTCTTTAAAAAATAATTTGACTATAACCTGTGCTTCTTGAATGTTCATTTGATTTCTGCTAGCTTTTGCATCTGCCAATTTTCCCTTCCATACCTTATTAAGTCCCTTGTATTCATACCGTCTGTCCCGGAAACTGAAATTTGAATAGATTTTAAAAGATTTTATGAGTGAATGCATGCACTGAAACAAGAAGGATTTATGTACTTTCAAAGAGAAAAAAACTAAAAAATTTGACAAAGACTACCAACCCAACATAAGAAAAAAAAAACGGGAATGATAAGACTGCTGCAGACTTAACCAAGTACCAAACAAGCATACTCAAGGAACCAAAAGCTAACACTAACAGACCTTCGTACTGTGTCAACATAAAAGGGATTTTCACGCATGCATATCCCTGCTTCTCTAAGCTCTGTCACAGGCTTGTCCAGAACCCTTTTATATGCCTGTTTTGTGTCACCACCAAGTTATATATGAGTTTTCTTAAGAGAAACAAAATCTCTAGCTAGGGAGTTGTCTGTACCTTCTGACAGTACTTCTTCAAGCGTTCTTTCAGCCTCAATTGTTGCTCTGATTTGGGGAGATCAAGAAATGGCTTTGTTTTACCATCACCAAATTCAACAAGTTCTGACTGAATTTGTTTCCTTATGTAATAGTAATCACTATACACAGAAATAGCATGTTTTCATATAATAGTACTGAAGATGCTTTTTCTAAAGATAAAAAATAAAAATACTAAAATTGAACCTCTTCTTGGCCATGTAGGTCTCTCCTCGCCAAACCCATTCTAGTTTACGTAGGCAATTTTTTCCTGGACGATTAAAGTCACATGCAGTGCAGACTACATCTGTAACTATTGATGGAGGCTGCAATTATTAATAAAATTCAGATATTTCATCAGCATTACATAGACTCATTGATGTTCTAAATTTTTCTTCATAAAAAAAATCATTAGTTGGAATATATATTTGAAATAAAGTGGCAGATGACTAGCATAGAGCAAAAATAATTTAAAATAATCAAGTCAGTAAATACGTTATAAAGGTGCTTCCATGTACATGAGGTGACAGTGTATTAGTTTAATAAATTCCAATTCAGATCCAATAATTTATTTAATTAATATACTTTAATTCAGATATAATGACAAGCAAGCAAGCTAAGGATAACAAGTATATTCGGGAATCTACATGATGTACAGGATAACTAGTGCAGTCAGCAGTACACAATCAAATCTATTTTTAAGAAAGATAATGTTTTCCTGGGTATTCCCAGGTCAAAGAAAAATATCTAAACACATTTCCTCATACTGGTTTGATTAGTAGCCAAGATAACTGGAATGGACTTCAAGCTATGAAGTCAAAATGCAACTAACTGAAAGCAAATAAGATTAACCACATTTTTTTCTAAATAAACTATTTTTTCAATCAAGTTTCTTTGTGTCAAAATAAGAAAATATTGCTTCAAAAGCTCTATTAAAGAAAAAAATATAATGACAATGTAATCATAGCAGGGTAAATCCTGTTGAGCACTGTATAATAGTACCTGAAGTCTGTTTGTTAAAATGATGTTTGGATACATTGCAGCAACATCAAGATGATAAATAAGCGGGCATTCCTCACATGTCGGATGATCCCGCAAGAAGATAAGCTGCAAATTGAAAGTACCAAAAAGAAGATAGTGAGCTCCACAATGTATTCATTCATGTTAGCAAATTACTAGTGCGAGCAAGTGCAGGCCATATAAGTAAATTCACCTAAGGCTGATAAGAATTGGTAAAAACATCATTTCATATATATTTCATATGATAGATTTTTTGTGTAATAAAGGATAATAAGCTTCACCGCATAACAGCACAATACAATGGCCAAGGAGCAGCTATTATGATCAGACAAGTAAAGCTTCCAAACAAGAATGCATAAGGAAAAGAAACCACTTAATTTCTTGTTACACATAAGCTTATAATATGGATGCCAATGACAATTAACAATATAATGCCTCACCCCAAATCCCTTTATGCTTTGTATTCGTTGATTGAAAATAAATGCATGAAAAGCTCAAAAACACAACATTTTATTTGATCAAAATACAACAGAAAAAGCGACATTAATGTGACATTGGAAACTTTAGCATTGAATAACAAGAACACAGTAAAGAAAGGGACCTTTTCCATTATAGCATTCTTCACATCTTCGTAATTTGCAATTGATTCAATGCTCATTTTTCCTTCCACTGTAATTGCAAATTGAAGGTCACGATCCAGATTTCCAATTAATTGCTGAAAAAAATTCTGGTGAGTACAAAATCGCATAGAGTCGCACAAATGAATAAGCAAAACTTCATGGAGAAAGATTTCAATCCATGAAAAAGTTCATGATGGAAGTGGAAAAATAACTGAGGGCAAACTCATTACTCTTTGAACTAAATAAGCAAAGGCACGACTAAGATGGTTGAAAATGGAAAGATCTAGAGAAAGTATGCACTCAGATATATATCTGCAATGCAACAAGAACAAAAAAATAAATAGTAAACAGTCAACCCACAAGGGACTCCCTCCTGTAGTGTCCACATCCACAAGCTGTGACAGATCTATATCAACATGTCTGCTAGTCAGAGACTTATTAGACTCTTGAATTATGCTATCCTGATGTGGATCCTAAGGTTTCTTTTCTTCGGAGCCAAACTAAAAAATTTCACACTATAACTACATTACAGTGTAATACCATTTTGTTTTCCTACAAGTATTCTAGGTTCAATTGGATAAGAAGAGTGAGTCAATCTCCTAATCTGATCACACTTCTCTTCAAATCAAGGTTTTGTTACGATCTAATATTTAGTTAATTTCATTTAATTAGCTTGATGACAATGTATATTTTCGCAAGATTTAGTATTTAACAACTAAAAAGAGTTTATTAGTCCATGTATACATAAAGAATTAAGAGTTCTTTGATGGATCCATATAGAAGAATTTCTACCTTTGATGATTAGCCACTAAGCAATTTTGTTTCATATCCTATTGATTTGTATCTTAGATTTAATTTATTATCATTTAACTTGATTATATAAACCGAGAAAAGAGGAGAAAGAGACCTGAAATCTGATTTTTTTTTTCTACTTTCTGGCTGATAAAAATTAGTTTTTACAAAACCTGATAACAATTGCTATTTGATTAGTTATTCCAACTATTTAATCTTATTGTTTTTCTCATTTTTCCAGTGCATTAAACGTCCACTTCTTGTCTCAAAAAATACACAGCTAGAAAATTTAGTATATGGTTTATATCAGATAGCTGAATATGTATCCTTTGATTAGATATGGAAAGTGGAAACAGATATGGGTTTTCCAATGTCTAATCGCTATCCAATCTTTTCACAATAAAAATTTTGAATCAATGTAATGTGCATAAATAAATTATTTAGATCCTGATAGGAAAAGGGGAAGCTACCATGTACATGTGGTACTTATTAAGACAACTTCATAAAGTCAGGAGCCATTTAAGAAGAAAACTTGGCTTCCTTTGGAGTGCAAATAAACCATGCCTTTCATATTAGTTTAGACATACTATAGATCAAGGACTTCTATACCACCCGAAACGGTATAAAATGGGCAGTACATATCAGTCTGGGCAAGGACCAGCATGCGGGCTGTTCTGTTTTGGGCAGACCGGTCCAACTCACTAGAAAGAAAACCTCAAAAAGCTAAATCAGCGATTAAGGCTTGCAAACATGACTGAAATAGTTCTGGCACCCGAAATGATAGTCCTTGCGATAGAGCTGACTTCAACAAAACCACGAAATTCCACACAAAAATTATTGGAGAAATCCCAGGACACAGTAGTCATGTTCTTATAGAGTAAAAATGGAAAAAAAACTAGAGAACAAGAATTAAGTACTTCCAAGACATTATCATAAAAACTAGAGGTACCAGTTTAGCTCAGTAAATGTGCAAAATAATTGACTGGCATTTATGCATGTTATACTTGGTCGTTGCATGTTTTACAAGATATAATAAATTATATATTTATAAAAGCTAATCAAAAAATCTTAAAAGTTAATTATTCAAGTATGAAGTCTAATAAAGCCACCTATCTATCAGCAGCAAACACAATTAAAGTTGTACCTCATATGCAGATGGATCAAGCTGGAACTTAATAGGAAGATCTGACCTAAAAACACCACTTTCAAGGCATTCAACATGCCCTCCAATATATGTTTCACTTTCTAGAGGGCGGTTGTTGTAGAATTTTTCAGGATCAGATTGGTGCTTGTTAGGACAAATAACATTAGCCTTGTATGCCTGTGTACAGAAACAGAATTACAATGTCAGATAAACATCAAGGAACAGAAGAAAGCAAATGATCACGGAAGCATATGTTGATTGCTAAACTTGAGTTCATTACTGCTCAACATCATAACATCATATTAATTCATGTAAGGTAGCACATGCAAAGTTTGACTGATGCTGAAGATTAATAATCACACCAAGAGTTAGCTCCTTCCAGAGATGCCTGTCCACAAAGTAGAATATCTACTGGAAATGTTGTTGTTACTCTTGAATAATTTAAGAAGCAAAAAATCAGTGCTTAAGTTGAACAGAGAAAATTGCCATCTTTTATGTGTGTTAGCCAATCTTTGTAAGTATTAAACAGAAATACAAATATCCCAACTGTTTGTACAAGTGTTTTAGCATAGAACCACATAATCACAGAGGGAGATGCACACAGACAAACACATGACAATGCAGACAACTCTTCTGCTGTTGTACTGATATATGAAAACAGTTTTAGGATGCATACATAAGTGTCCATGTACGATGCATGTGGGATTTACATTATACAAGTTCAATCATGTTAAATAGAATTCTTATTTTGGTCAGATATTCAACATATTAGATGACATCAGAAACACAAAATTCGTAATCCTTCTGCATTGTTCTATAATACTAGTACGGTAGTACCCCACCATATTGGTTAGCAATTATGGGGATTGAACATCCAGCTAAACTAAATTAGCTCTGTGAATAGGGGATAAAGTGGATCAAACAATATCCATCTGAATCCTTTTCTGTGCTCAAGTGGAGCTGGATATTACATAGTATGTTATCACCTACCCTTATTCATATAAAAAAAAATTATATACAAATAGTGATGCGAGTCAATTTAATTCATATCTGAATATATGAAAATGTGAATATATTCAAAATTTTCAAATTTATCCAAATCAGAATATTTAAGAATGCAATTATTTCTTAAAAGTATAAATTTATCTAAACTATCTAAATATCTTAGTCTGTGAACAACTGAATATATCTCAAAAGGTTAAGTTTATCTTTACTTCTTCAAGGATGAAATGTTGAAATATCATAAATGTTTAGGTGTATATACCTAAACATGCATTAATAAGCCTCTAATTATCCATTAAACATAGTACAATAAGCTCATAAACTTTGTAAGAAGCCAATAAAGGTCAATCTAAGCTAATTCTTCTTAAATACTCTAATTATGTCTTAATTAATCATTAGTCACTAGTGTATCATCATTGAATAAAACTATTTAAGCTAATTACATGACATGATAAAGAAAACATAGAGAGAAGCTACATGCCTTCAACTGGAGATATGTTCCACATGATAAAGAATAAAAGAAAACAAAGTAGTCTTGTGGAGAATTCTAGTAGGATATATCTGGACCTCTTTTTGGAGACATGTTCTCCATGGAATTTGGACCTCTTTTTTTCATCCAGGAGGGTATATCTGGACCACTGGCAAGTGGTATGTTGGAGTTGGAACTTGGAAGTCTGTTTAGACCTCACCAAATCATCATTGACATCTGTAAAGTCACACATGAAACTTGATCTCAAACATCAAGCATATGCACGTTCTTACCAAAGACAATGGTGGGACATTTGGGCCTTGGTTGTATGCCTAAACCATTAAGTATCTTGTAATTTACTATTATCAGCATTTAGTTACATGTGAGGTTTCATGTGGAACTAATTGATCTCATCTGTGATCAGAAGTACTGTTTGGAATCTGGATTATGGACTTATTTTGCCTGTGGATGTTAAGTTGGCTATTGTTGTTGTCAAATGTTTAAATTGGCTATAAGCCTACAATTAAGATATGCAATACCGTACCATACTGGTGTTTCGAGGTTGGCTCGGTACGGTATGGTACCGGTATACCGAGCGGTACACCAGGGCCTACCGAGCGGTACACCCTGGTGTACCGAATAATTTTATATTTTTTTATTTATTACTGTAGTACTGTAGCACTGCTATAGTATAATATTGTAGCACTGTAACGGTACCGGACGGTCCATGTACCAGTATGCCGTCGGACCGGTACATACTACCCGTACCGGGCGGTACCATTCGGTACTGCATACCATGCCTACAATTAATGTCTTCAATGCTAGAATGTTTTTCTTGAATTATGATCAAAACCAAAATCAATGCTAGAATGCTACAATTCATGTCTTATTATCACTTTAGTTTGGAATATGTAGCTTCCTGAAAGTTGCAGACCTTATGGTGAAAATTATGTATGATGTTGTGGGTGTCTGTAAAACTTATGACCTTCAGGATATGAGCATGAGTTACTGAAGATCACTTGTTATAATACAAGTTGAGTTCAGTGCTAAAAAGAACTAAATGACCATTAGAAATTTAATTATGATTCTTATGGATCCTTCAGGTTCTGTCTGAACCCAAGTCTAAGGACATGTCATGCAAATTATTAAGTTTCACTTTCTGACCTTGTTAGCCCAGGGATGGCCACTATATCATGGACTTACCTAACCAACCCTAAATCATGGACTAAAGTATCATGAATATGTATGTACTAGTCAAATACCAAATGGAAACCCCCTACCCCGGTTATAGTGGACTGATATTCCAATGCATGTTGATAAGTGCTGTGCATCAGTGGACACATTGGCAAGTTCAGGGCATTGTGCACCAGATTCTATGGACTGTATAGTGCACTACCAGTTTAATCCGTGTGCTTCATAAAAGAATGAATTGATTCTTCAAGAGCACACCAAAAGTTTTGTAGCATGAAGCCAACCAAAAACAATTGAATAAAAGGAGCATGCTAAAACTTGAGAAACCAAAACATTAATCATTTCAAAACAACATATTTATAGGAGTATAATATCAATGCATTACATATGATAACAGATGTAATGGAGTGACAGTAAGCTTGCACTGAGAAAAAACAAACCATAAACGTACCTGCACCATAAGAAGCATTTCACAAAGTGTTCCACTTCCTTTTCGGAGGACCTCATCTGGTGGCATAGGAATTATAGTTGCAAGAGAGAAAATGAACGGATGAACATATGTCATATATAGAAAATATGTTGCCACGGCATCTGACACAGAATATGATGCCATCATCTGAGATAACATCAAGGAAAATTAAATTCAAATAAAAAACATTATGAACAAGAATCAAATTAGAGCAGAATATATAAAAAATCAACAGAAGCTTTGTTCCTCATTTTTTGGTTCTCTGTTTTTTGTTCTCTATTTCTTTTCTTTTTGTTTTTTTTTCTCTTTTCTTCCTTTTTTGTGTTATTAATGAAATAAGCTTGCAGCATTGCTGCTTTGCCTCAAAAAAAAGAAGGGTTAGGCAGTGCGACTGCAACAAAGATATCTTTTGGATCATTTTGAAGGATCCTTATTTGTACAATAGCACATAGTGAGCAAGTCAAAACTTTCAATCTAATGTACCTGTGGTTGTTCCATGGCAAAACGAACCATGTCTTCTGGATTCACCTCCAGTGGATCATAACCCAATTTAGCCTTTGTAACAGCCTGGTGAGTAACAGAAATGTGTGAGTCTAAAAGAGTGTCAACAGATTATGGGAAGGTATCTGCAGGATCCTGGAGTGTAAAAGACTGCAGCTACCTTAGTTACTCATAAACTAAAGCATGGTAGTCAAAAGAAGTGACTAATGAATCCAGTGTAATTACTGGAGATGAAGCTAAGATGAATATGTGTGGTTAGTGATTTAAAAAGTAATAGAATTATTTGTGTTCATGAACAATCAGGCACAATTTGATTGAGAATATAATGACCAAGAAACATGTTACAAAAATTGTAATCCAAGAATGTACAACCTAATCCTTAAGGTTGAAGAAACAAGAAAGAACAAATTCACAAAAAATAAGAACTTATCTGGTTTTTTTAGTCTGTGTCATAGTGCCTGCAGACCCACTGATATGTACACCATTAAGTAAATATATGCCCTCAGAATACTCTAGTCGGATTGCCTAGAAAATCCTTCCATAAAATTTCTGCTGGGTCAGTGCCCAAACAAATTAAGATTGTTCACAAAATAAGACAGTACAAGAATCCAATGTTACGTTTCATTTAAAAAAACAAATATCACATTTTGTCAGTGTCAGCTGGGGCAAGGATTCAATACTGGTCTTATACTGCTTTTAGTGATCTATCAGACTGGTACAGTACTACTATACTGAATGGTGTACAAACCAGGGTCTGCCGTACCGAACTGTACCGTCCGGTACGGGTGGTACGTACCGGTCCGACAGGTTGTCGGTACGCGGACCGCCTGTTACCGGTCCGAGTGCACTGTAGTACTGTAGCAGTGCACTATAGCACTACACTGTACTCGATATACCTGGGTGTACCGCTCGGTATACCGTACCGTACTGTACCGGTACCGAGCCCAGGTCGAAATACCGGTACGATACGGTATTGCGAATCTTGGTACAAACCAGCACCACCCTACATAATTGAATAAAACAAAAAAAATTAAATGAATGGCACTGTACCAAAACTGAGCTATATATCTCAACACTGGTACTTGGTTGAACCGGTAAATAAAGTCTATATGTACCAATCTGACCAGTATTTAAGTCCTTTAGAGTAGCAATGAGATAACCAATAGTATCTACTTCTTACACCATCAAAGAAAACCAAAGTTGTAGAAATCTAATATAGGAAGTTAATGCCTTTCAAACAAAATATAAACTTGCATCAACATATGTCCAAACGTCACACACACACACACAAGAAAACTATAATTTTGCATGCCTTGATTTTTGCATATAACTTAAAGATTAAAGAAAATGGAAAATGTCACATGCGCACACACGCACACACACACACACAGTTACAAACCACCTAGTTCAACAAATCAGGAAATAAATGTGTGTGTGTATTCAAGTGCTTTGTCTTTACCAAAATGTTCCAACTATGGAACTTGATTAATCAGATTCAAGTTAAATTTATTCACCTTAAGACCTTGGCTTCCTTGAGGAAGGTAACTATCACGTTTCACCCAAGCAAAACAATCAAGATGACAAGAAAATTTGGCACGACACTCCCCTTGGTTACTGTCGCACTGGAAACCAATTTCCTGAAAGGAGTAAATGCAAGCTATATATGAGAAAAGATACAGATTAATGATAGCAGCATACTGACTGAATAACTTCTACAAGAACAATTGTTGAGTCATAAGTAATTATGTACTGATATCTCCACAAAAAAACAAAGAAATATCATATGCATGAATAGTAGCATATCATACAGACACTGGGAAATCTTTCATGTGGTACATGGACCATACCACTCTCAAATTATCAATCTTAGGTTGTTTCATTATAAAATGATTAAAATCAATTCATCATTTAGTGGAAAATTAAAATATTAACAAAATTTTAGAATAAGCAACAAAGCACATCAGACAATTCACAGTTGGAAGAATTTATTAACATATTTCTCCAAGGCAAAAAGACCTCTAATTATGGATTGCTTCACACATGATAGCACCCTTAAAAATTGTATACCTCAAGATTCAAATGCCAAATCATACCGACCATACTGACCACTATATCATAACTGATAATTGAAAAAATTATATTATTTTCCAGAAGTGTATCATGGTATAATATGCCAACCAGTCTGACAATGGCCATTGTAGACACAGCTCGGTATGTAAATCCTTGGTACATACAGCTCCATCATATGACTAGTATGTAGAGCAACCTTACTGATTTAACCTACATATCAGCCAAAAAAGCAGGGGTCTCGAGCGGTTTTGCTAATCAGTTCACTTATAAATGAAGTGAACTAGTCTGGTCCACTTTAAGAGTATTTCACACAATCGAGCCCAAGGCAGCCAGTGAGAGAAAGGAGGTCCATAAGGCTAGGGCTCTAACTTAAGAGTAGAATCATACAAATGGTATTCTAAATTCAGATCCATTTTCACCGGAGACTACATTTTCTTCTTAAAGTATCAACTCCTATATTTCAGCTTAGTGACTTGATTTAGAGGCTTAATTTATAATTCATGTTTGATTTAGCCAAAATATTTAAGAAAAGAGTACTAGGCCAATGCTGGGATACCGTGTGTTGGTATTCCATCATACCAAAGCCACAAGTGGATAAGAATTAAAACTGATAGAAAATGATATTTTCAGACTAGTTCTATTCCCCTTCCCTTGCTGATCACTCCTCTTTTCACTCTATAAACCAGTCATCATCAACACTTTTCCTTGATCTATCTTTCCCTTCCCTCCTCTCAACCCTCTTCCAAACCTTCTCCCTACCATTCTTAAAAGTCTTCTGAAGGAAAAGTCTAATTTCTCAAGGAGAGTGTTAGAATTGAAAATCTAAAATACTAGGCCCATGCTGTCATACCGTGTGTTGGTATGCCTAGCACATTTTGGAGTAGTACTAGTCTGGCCAACGGCCGGCATGGGTCTGGTACCCAAAATGTCAAACCATGATCATGATATTCTAGACTTGCACGTTCACTATGTGATAGCAGTAAAAGATGGATTTGAACAAGGAACAAGAGTAAGCATAATAAGACAATAAATGAGCACATCTAGGGGAAAGGCTGAATTGTGCTTGTACAAATGCAGTAAACAAATCATGATATTCCAGCATTACACATAATTGAAGTTGGAATTGTATAAGGTATATACGCCACATCTTGAATGCAGCTACATATAGTTATCTGAAAGAATATTCTGCACACACCTCACTCATTTTAATACCATGATGAGAAGCTCTTTTCTCTAGGAATGGCCAGTCGAAGAAATCTCCATTGTAAGTGACATATATACCTGGCTTAGCCTCTTGCATGTGGGCAAACCATGCTTTTAAAAGCTCTCCCTGCCATGCCAAGAAAACTTAGAAGTGAGACCAAGATTATAAATTACAGATGATGTATACAATAACTAATTTACAGGATTTATGGGAAGATACCTCATCTTTCACGTTTCTTACTTTAAAGCAACCTTCAAATTCTGGTTTTGGAGTATACTCCAAATCTTCAATATCCTCACCAACACACTACCAATACAGAACAGGGGATGCATAAGCATACAGTTGATTGACCAAAATTAAATGAAAGATGAGTTCCAGCATTGCAGAGATAGTATGCAAGCAAACCAAGAAATACAGAATTTAAGACAACTTTTAATGAAATATTACATGTTATTGCCTTTGCCAAATCAGATCTTAATTTATTAATAGTTCAAAACAGTATTGCCATTAGTGCTATGAGGTCGCATTTCAAGACATAAAATAACACCAAAGCCATTTCAATCACCCAGGATGATTATCAATTCATGTTCAGTATCATGCAAACTGAGAAGGATTTCCTGAAGGAAGAAAACATTAGTTGTGCAGAATAATATAACATCATCAGCTTATAGCAGCTTAAGAAAAATGGGGGGAAAACAATGACAATACGAGAATTTAATCAGTGGAAAACAAATGTAATATCTATTCAAGAATTTGAAATTAGCAACATCAAGCTCCAATATCTAAGGATGTCAATTAAAATGGCATTCTGTCTAACCTCCCGGTTGATTATCAAGTACCCTTGTCCATCGATCATGTATGATATCATCATTATGAGATCATATTCAGCATCTGGAAATTTCAGAGGGAGCTTTGTTGTCTCAATATCAAATGCACAAACATGAACTTCTGCCCGTTGAAGAAGATCAGACCTTTTCTCAAGCAAAATACCAGCACTAAAGACAGATATATCATACCACAGACCACATCTAACATCTGCATTAAATAACATTTCCATTATTAGGTATTACCACCAAGGTATACAGTTTCGAATAATACCGTCCATACCGAGCGGTACGTACCGGTCCATCAGCTGACCGTTACACGGACCGCCCATTACCGGGCAGAATATATATATATATATATATATTTATTTATTTATAAAAGGCGACGTCGCCTTTTTTCGGCAACGTCACCGAGGCGACGCGACATCAC